GAATGTCGAACCATCCAACGGTTCCGATCTGAAGCACCAGGAGAACAACGGAATCGTTAACAACGGCGGTCTGACGTCCAGGAATAACGGCAACGGCAGTACAACGGCTGCCAGTGCCACCATTACGCCAGCCGGTGTGGGTTCGAGAGGGAGCGAATCGCCTGTGGGGCATCATAACCATGAACGCAGGCCCAGTTGGAGGCTGAAGGTGGATAATGGAAGCAAGGTGAGGAATTAGATTCAGGAAAAATGATTTTTTTTAACTTCCCGAAGGAGAAGTTTATGTTTTCATCAAAAAATCCGATTCGCTAATTTTATGTTTTCTCCTGGACGTTTCTAAAGTCATTCTGAATCGAATGAGACCAACATTTGGAAAAAGTATGTGTGTGTGTGTGTATGTGTGTGTGTGTGTGTGTATGAACAGATTTTTAACTTCCCGAAGGAGAAGTTTATGTTTTCATCAAAAAATCCGATTCGCTAATTTTATGTTTTCTCCTGGACGTTTCTCGAAGCCATTCTGAATCGAATGAGACCAAATTTGGAAAAGGTATGTGTGTGTGTGTGTATGTGTGTGTGTGTGTATGTGTGTGTGTGTGTGTGTGTATGAACAGATTTTTAACTTCCCGAAGGAGAAGTTTATGTTTTCATAAAAAAATCCGATTCGCTAATTTTATGTTTTCTCCTGGACGTTTCTCGAAGCCATTCTGAATCGAATGAGACCGAATTTGGAAAAAGTATGTGTGTGTGTGTGTGTGAACAGATTTTTAACTTCCCAAAAAAGAAGTTTATGTTTTAATCAAAAAATCCGATTCGCTAATTTTATGTTTTCTCCTGAACGTTTCGAGACATTCTGAATCGAATGAGACCGAATTTAAGGGAAAAAAAAGTATGTGTGTGTGTATGTGTAAGTGTATGGGAACAGATTTTTATGTTTTCATCAAAAAATCCGATTCGCTAATTTTATGTTTTCTCCTGGACGTTTCGAGACATTCTGAATCGAATGAGACCAAATTTAAGGGAAAAGTGTGTGTGTGTGTGTGTGTATGAACAGATTTTTAACTTCTCGAAGGAGGAGTTTATGTTTTCATCAAAAAATCCGATTCGCTAATTTTATGTTTTCTCCTGGACGTTTCTCGAAGCCATTCTGAATCGAATGAGACCAAATTTGGAAAAAGTATGTGTGTGTGTATGTGTATGTGAACAGATTTTTTGCCGTACATCGACGTTTTCTCTAAAACGCCTGAACCGATTTCAGAAATTTAAAAGCCATTCATGTATCTCAATGAACACTATAGTTTGTCGGTTTTGTAGTAGGTCTAGTTAGGCCGAGACGTTTCTTTATAAATATCAGAAAAGTGAAAAATTTTTCGTCCACGTTTTAGCCCGCAATTGTGAATCGATTTTGAAAATTCAAAAACCGTTTGGAAGATATTGGCCGGGCCGTTTTCTTGTAATAAAGTGTTAAAAAAAATTTTTTTCGACGATTTTCATTATTAACTTCCCGTAGGACAAGTTATAGTAATCGCAAAAAAATCGAAAATTAAAATTTTTATATATTTTGACGTTTTGAAGGTTTCTGAACATTTTGGCATACCTCAGAAAAAATGTATGTATGTGTGTGTGTGTGCGTGTGTGTGTGTGTGTGCGTGTGTGTGTGTGTTTTCGGATACAAATTTTCGTCGACGATTTTGAGAACACGGATGAAGCGATTTGAATAATTCAAAAAACATTCGATTTGTATTGATAAGGAGACGTGCTGATTAGTTTTTGGCGTAGGCAGGTCTAGCCGTTCCGAAGATATGAGGCAAAAAGTGCCAAAAACGGTAACTCAGTTTTTAAGATAACGAAGGGTTTGATTTGAATGATTAAAAAAACATTTTACTTGTATTAACAAGGTAAAGAATTGTTCAAATTTGCATGAAGGCAGGTCGAGCGGTTTCGGAGATCTAACAAAAAAAGTAAAAAAAAATGCCATTCGGCGGCCAAAAATGCACATTAAAATGCACACAAAAATGCATTAGACATATGCACATCAAATTATCAGATATTTTATAGAGATTTTAACAATAAGTATAAATTTTGTTCACATTCCTATGGGTTCCGTACCAATGTTTATTTGTGAGACAGCGGCGCGGCGCTTACGCGCTTCGATATTTCGTCTCTATGCAGTTAAAGCAGTACGATCGCTCTGAAAAAAAAGTTCAGAATTTCCAAAATAGGTCAAAATGAAGAAAAAAAATTTTTTTTCAAAAAAATTTTTTGTTCTCAAAAAAAAAATTTTTTTTTTTTTCAAAAAAAAGTTATTTTTTGTCAAATTTATAGTTTCTCAAAAATCTAAACTTCTTCGAAGTAAATTTTTTTCAAAAATGTCAATCGTTTTGGTACGGGAAGTTCCAGCAATAGGGCACGATGCCATGCGCCTCACTAGTTTAACTAGTCAAAGTTTGCAAAAATTAGTCAAAGTTTGCAAAAATTGGTATCGTTTTTTTGGCATTTGTCAAAATTAGACTTTTTATCGACATTTTCTCAAAAACGCCTGAACCGTTTTCAGAAATTGAAAAGCCATTTGATGTATCTCGATGAGGACTAGTGTTTGTCAGTTTTGTGCGACGATCTGCCGAGCCGTTTCTTTATAATTCAAAAAAAAGTGTTCACATTTAAGCTCATCCTACCGAACCGATTTTAAAAAATCAAAAACTGTCGGAAAGATATTAGTTGGGATTGATGCTGATTAATTTTAGGTGAAAATCTACCGAGCCGTTTTCTTATAATCAACTCTAGAAAAAAAAATTTAAGCCGATTTTTATGGAAGTTTTTTTTAGCGATATATATCATGGCCTTATAGGACTTACTGCAGTATTACGGCCTTGCGACAAGTAGTTTAATTTTAAAAATTCATCAAAGTTTGAGAAAATGGGTAGTTTTTTTGACATTAGTTAAAATGAAAATTAGACGATTTACTTGGTATAACGATAGAGTACTTGGTTTTAATGAACATAGTAAACCATTAAAGTCCTACGGAAACTGGTTCAATTATAATTATTGATCAATTAAAATTATTGATTTTTGAAAATTTGCTTTAAGAGAACACTCCGAGTTAACGTATTCGTTCGTTTGTTTGCAATGATGTGTAATAAATCCACTCGGAATACTTTTAATGACTCATAAATTAATTTATTGTTTATTGATTAAGTCGATTATTTACACATATCGGGAAGTTCATGTAACTTGCCTCAAGGCTAAATACCAAACCAACTAGTTATTTTTATATTATTGACTGAAAATTTTCTCATTAAACCGCTAAAAAAAACCATCAATTTTAAAATGATTTAATCTGACTCGATTTTCGATAGAAACATTTTTATATGGCATTTTTATATGATTTGCCAAAACGTTTTTTTCTTTTGTTACATTCGTAAGTATTTTATATATGTTTATGTCTGAGTGCAGAAATAAAACATAGTTATAAAACATTCAAAATATATTGAGTTTGATACAATATCGAAGACAATGAAGACTTGTTTTTCATTTACCAGTTTAAGCTGGAAGATGCCACGAAGTCGAGTAGTGATACCCAGCCCACAAGACGTCCCACCAGTGTTCCGGCTGTTAACAATTCAACAAGCTCTCTGTCAAGGGACTCTGCGGGTAACAATAGGAGTAGTGTGGCAGATCCCACGAGAATGACGAATGATGCCACTGTCACCGGTACTGGTACTGGTACTGGTACTGATAACACGACTGTAACTCTGCAACTGAGACGACCCACCAGGAGCACACAAGAGGATAAAGGTAATAAGATAGAATAAATAGAATGAAGTAATTTATATTGTTTAGGGAAAATTAATTCCAAATTCAAAAAAATTAAATTCTCGATTTTTTTTTATTCTTTGAAATTTTTCAAAATTTTAAAAAAATTGCAACTTTTTTAAAAAATTTGAACATGGATTCAACTTTTGCAATTTTTTGAAAAATATTAAATTATGCAACTTTCTCAAAAAATTTTAAAATATCCACACAGATTTGCAAAAAAATTCAAAATGTTCAATTTTTTTAAAAAATTTTGGATATGAATTCAAAATTTGCACTTTTTTGAAAAATATAATTTTTTTCAACTTTATCAAAAAAAAATTTAAAATCATTATTTTTTTTTTAAATTTTGCACTGCAATAAATTCAAAATGTGCAATTTTTATAAAAAAATATCAGTTTTCATCTTTTTTTTAAAAATCTAAACTTTCAACTTTTTTTGAAAATTTTGGACATAAAATCAAAATTTGCATTTTTTATAAAAAGTTATAAAATTTCCAACTTTTTCAAAAAAAATTGAAAATCTCACAATTCAACTTTTTTTTTTAATTTTGCAGGTAGATTCAAAATTTGCAAAATTTTAACTAATATCAATTTTTTCAAAAAATTTCAAAAAAAAAATAACTTTCAAAATTTAAACTTTTCAAATTTATTTAAAAATTTTAGACGTAAATTCAAAATTTGCATTTTTTTTAAAAAAATTCAAATTTTTCAACTTTTTCAAAAAATTTCAAAATCTCCCGATTTACAAAAAAATTCAAAACTTTCAACTTTGTTTAAAAATTTTGGGCATAAATTCGAAATTTGCAATTTTTATTAAGAATGTCAAATTTTTAAACTTTTTCAAAAAATTTCAAAAACTCCAGATTTGCAAAAAAAATCAAAATTTTCAACTTTTTTTAGAAAGCTTGGACATAAATTCAAAGATTGCAATTTTTATTGAAGGTACCAAGTTTTTCAACATTTTCAAAATATACACACAGATTTACAAAAAAATCAAAATTTTAAACTTTTTTTTGAAAAATTGTGGACGTAAAGACAAAGTGTGCAAATTTAAAAAAAAATCAAATAATTCAGCTTTTTTAAAAAATTTCAAAATATCCACACCGATTTGCAAAAATGTTCAACTTTTTTAAAAAAAATAAATTCAGAATTTCCAATTTTTTATTAACACCAATTTTTTCAACGTTTTCAAAAAAATTTAAACTTTTCAACTTTTTTTTAAATTTTGGAGATGAATTCAAAATTTGCATTTTTTTTAAAAAATCATTTTTTTCAACTTTTCAAAAAATTTCAAATCTTTTTTTCGAAAATTAAAAAATCAATATTTTTTCAAAAACAGAATCGAATTTGTTCAAAAATTGTATCTCAAGTTTTATAAATATTATTTTGCTTAATTTTAATGGACATAATATTTTTACAATCGCACAGAAAAAATATTATTGATATATTCGCCTTTATATTTTTTTCATGTTATCTAATGTTTTATATATCTAACTATAATAATTATTTGTTTATTTTCGTAGAGCAAGATAAAGAAAATGATGTTAGAAATGCACAGGCGACACAGGCCGTCATTCAGAGACGACGGAGGCCCAAGAGAAGGTCGACCGGTGTCGTTAATTTGGACATGGACGTAAGTAAAAAAAAATTTGAACAGACTATTTTACTAACCATAAGTTAACTCCATAAATATCACACAATTATGCACAATTTGCTTTTATGATCTAAAAACTTATTATTGTTTTACTAGAATGACGAATACTATACCTACGGGTAAATATCCGAACAAAATGAAAAATAATATGTACATATTTATATTTATTGAAATATATAATTTCAAGTCAAAAAAAGATCATGAATATCAATATTCCATAATTTTAATAGTTTTATAAAGACAAAACAAATTTACAATACAACTGTTTTTATCAAAGTTGATTATTTTCTTTTATTACACTTTGATCTTGAACATGTGCGTGGACGATTTTTTTAATTATAGAAATACAAGTCAAAAATGTATAGCTTGTTATTTTTATAAATATCTATGTATTTAGTTTATATAACTTAATTTTTATTTCAATTTTTTTATAGGACTTGGATCCGGACAAGCAAGATGGTGACAACGGAGCTGGTGGTGACAATAATACCAATGAGGTAAGTCAGATTTATTTTGTTTTTTTTTTAACTTCCTGAAGCAGAAGTTTGTTTTTTCCAAAAAATCCGATTCGCTAATTTTATGTCTTCTCGATGTGTATGTGTGTGAATAGAGAGAGAATAGATTTTTTAACTTGTCGTCTGTATTTATGTATTTCTATGTATATATGTATCCATGTATATTTATTGGTGATTATTATTACGTCAAGTTTGAAATTAGCCAAACGTTCGTTTCTGTCTTGAAATAGAATTTCGATTTGTAAACACGAATGTGAACTCTTGCGCCTCGAAACAGATGCTAATACTGATGATGATGCTCATTCTTATTAATAGACTACTTTATTATATTAAAATATACTTAATATACTCTACACGATTGTTTATGAAATGTTAAAATCCACTTAATACTTACAGTCCAGAAAAAAAACTACACGTAAACGACTTTTCAAAATCTAAACTTTATTACAAAATAATAGTGTCGGACACAGAACAGATTTTTAGAATAAACCATGGTTTGCATATCTATTTTATTATACTTTTGAAATCCTCATGATTATTTCGTTGCCAAAAAAATCTTTCATCATTTTAATGCAAATCATATCTTTGCCCACTTTTTTTTCTCATTCAGTCCGAATTCTATTTTTGGCCGCCACTGATCTAAATCTGTCGTCTATTCAGATCAATGTAACAAAAATGTTAATTTTTTTGGCAGCCGTTTCATCTCTATTTTTCAATATTATTATTATTATGATGGGGGAGTTAATTTTGCGAAATTCGTAGAAATTGAGAGAAAATCTATTTTAGATTTAACAAAAGGTATAAACTGACTACAGACGGTACATGTTGTTCTATTAATCCCGATCTGTCTTATATTTTGATAGACAGATCGTGATTTATGAAATTAGATGATTTGGTTGACACTTTTTGATGATAAATAGAAACACTGGACACGGCAAACTTTTAGTAGCGAATGTAGTACTACCTAAATTATAATTTATTTATAATATAAGCATTTTCCAGAATGTCCTTCGTAATCATTCTCCACCTACATTCTCATTACTTGAAGTCTCGAAATGTTGTACTTTTTCAGGGGAAAGGTGGAAAATTTCAATATAAAGTCACACTCATTTAAAATGGTCAAGTAATTTCTAGATTCGTTTTTTTTGGAATACTACATTTGGTTAGAGAATATATTGCAATAAAATTATCACTCAATACTTTTATTATTGCAAATTTTGGAACAAAGATGGAACTCATGGAGCTACTGCTAAAAAATTTGAAAAAATCTTGATTCATACATAGATGGTATCCAATATTTAGGAATGTTCTGTCAAAATTTCTGGTAACATAAATCATTCACAAAATTTATGAGCAATACTACTATTACCACTCAGATTGTGAATCATGTACATAATGTATGAAACCATCGTCAAATATGGAATATTAGAAATTTTTGGTATACTTGCATTCAAACATTCGTGATATTTCCAAATTTTGTTTTAGACATCGAAAATATTTGGAATATCTTACATACTTACTGCATTGAATTACGAATCTATTGAAATTTGTTTTGAATGGCCATAGAATTATCTTGAGTAATTAACTTTTTGGCATACCTTAGAAAATTAGCTGTTTGTGTGTGTGCGGATACAAATTTTCGTGGACGATTTTGGGAACGCCGATCAACCGATTTGAATTCAAAAAACATTCGATTTGTATTGTTAAGGAGACGTGCTGATTAGTTTTTTACGAAGGCAGGTCTAGCCATTCCGAAGATACGGGGCAAAAAGTGCCAAAAACGGTAACTCAGTTTTTAAGAGAACGGAGCGTTTGATTTTAATAATACAGAAAACATTTTACTTGTATTGAAAAGATGAAGAACATATTAAATTTTTGGTAAGGCAACTCCATCGGTTATGGACTCTCAATAAAAATAAGTTAAAAAAATGTCATTTGGCGGTGAAAAATGTTTATTGGACATATGCACATCAAATTATCAGATATTTTATAGAGATTTTAATGTGTACACATGTGTATAAATGTATGTTTATAATTTTTTTTTTGGGTTTCGTTCCAAGGTTTTTAATTACGGTACCGGAAATTCCAGCAAAATTCAGAAAAATTTTTACATGTATTGACAAGATGAAGACTTGATTAAATTTTGGGAAGGCAGCTCTATCCATTCGTAAATCTTGTAAAAAAAGTAAACAAAAATGCCATTTGACAATCAAAAATGATCATTAGACATATGCACATCAAATTATCAGATATTTTATAGAGATTTTAATAATGTGTATCAATTTTGTTTACATTTCTATGGGTTCCGTAACATCGTTTGTCTATTCGTCTCTATGCAGTTAAAGCAGCGCGATTGCTTTGAAAAAAAGTTCAAAATTTCGAAAATATTTCAAATAATAAAAAAAAAAATTCAAAAAGTTTCCGAAAATATTTCAAATAATGAGAAAAAAATTTTCAAAAAGTTTTTCCAAAAAAGACATTTTTTTCTAATTTAAAATTTCTCAAAAATGTAATTTTTTCAAAGTTTAATAATAATAATAATAATAATGTTTTTTTAAAACAAATATTTTTTAATAGCGCAAGTTCCTGCAATTTGCTTTGAGGCATGATTCCATACTCAACTAGTTTCATTTTTAACCTATAATTTTTCAACACTTTCTTGTGCACTCTCTTATCCAACACATGCCATACATTATTTAATCTGCATATTTCTTTTAAATTTTGATATACTTCTAATTTCTCTGTTAGCATTAATGTTAATGCTCCTCCTGGTGTTTATAATCTAATAATAGCACCAGTCCGCTCTACACCATGTGCGAATGTAAACACTTCTGCACAAAGGAACACAAAAATCGTGGCGAAATGGTGTTGAAACGGAAACCCGAGATATAATTTTGTCTTTTACGATGTAAAAGACTTTTACGACTGAGATGTGTATTAAATTTCACACAGAAGGAAACCGTTTGATGTCGATAAAAGAAAAAAAGGAACATAATTCTATAAACCAAAGTAACCTCCAAATAGGACAAAGGTCAGAAGATAACTTTAGTTCGACTTGTTATTAACTTTCCGTTGGGTAGTTATAGTAATGGGCCGAAAATCGAAATGAATCGAAATGGCAAAGTATAAGATAAAAAAGAGACTCTACTGACGAGGAAACTGAAAATTAATAAATAGGGACTCTACTGACCAGCGAACTTAAAACTGTATAAGAAGAGACTCTAACGACGAACAAACTGAAAAATTAACAAAAGAGACTCCCCTAGCGAGCATAAAAAATAATGAAATAGGGACTCTATTGACGAGCAAACTGAAAATTAATAAAAAAAAGGGACTCGAGAGACGAACAAAATGAAAATTAAGAAAAAAGAGACTTTACTGACGAGCAAACTGAAAATTTATGAAAGAGACTCTACTGACAAGCAAACTAAAAATTAAATAAAAGTGACTCTACTGCAAAACAAACTGAGAATTGACTAAAAAAGTAATTTTTTTTATCTTTATCAACTGCTTGCTTAATAAATTATGAAAATAAATCAATTTTAAAAATGTGTATTACAAACATTTTCTTATGCATTTTTTTTTCTTCCCGTGGGGTAAGTTATTCTAATCGTCCAAAAATCGAAATTGAAAATTTTTACATTTCTCGATGTTTTGAAGGTTTCTGAACATTTTGGCATACCTCAGAAAAAATGGATGTGTGTGTGTGTGTGTTTTGTATGTCCGCATTCTTTCGTCCACGTTTTCAGGCGCACGGATCAACCGATTTGAATGGTTTAAAAAACATTCGATCCCTATTGATAGGGAGATGTGCAGATTAGTTTTTGGCAAAGGCAGGTCCAGCCGTTACGGAGATACAGAGCAAAGAAGGCAGAAAATACAAATCGAGTTTTTGAGAGAACGGAGTGTCGGATTTGAATGATCTAAAAAACATTCAATTTTTAAGGATTGGGAGAAGTGATTAGTTTTTGGCAAAGACAGGTCTCGGCATTTCGAAGATACAGAGCTAAATGTGCAAAAAATGGCAGTTTTTGAGTGAACTAAGCGTCCGATTTGAATGATCTAAAAAAACTTTCTGCTTGTATTGACAAAACAATTGCTCTTTAGGATAAAAAATTATTACATCTTTTTTTTCATTTTCCATAAAATATTTTTGTAATTTTGGATTAAAAATTTAAAAAATCACTCAGGCTAAGCACAGTCTAAGCGTTACTCTGGTACAAATGTTTACCCAAGTGCGTTTAGACTGTCTATGTACTGAGTACTCTCACAATTTTGTGAAAACTATTGAAAAATGTGAAAATGCCGCCAAGCTAAGCGCAGTATAAGTGAAAATGTCGCACAGAATTATTTGCAAATGCGTTTAGACTGTGACTATACGGGAGCACTTTTTCAAAATTGAATTCGAAATGAAATGACGATTGTTAATGTTCTGGAGATAAATTGATTTATGATTTACATTTGATTTGCTCAGATATAACAAGATAATGCAAAAATAATGAAAGTTACAGTATATTTGTAATAATATATTTGAAAACGTTTAAAATTTCTCGAATATTTCATTACGGTACGGGAAGTTTCAGCAATTTGCCTTAAGGCACGATGCCATACACCACTAGTTTGACACTTGTACCATTTGGAGGTTAGATTTTAAAAGTAGATAGTTTGTGACTACAAACTATTTTATTTGGAGAATTGACCCCTAAATTTTCAGTTTTGAAATATTACTTGTATTATATGTCTAATTCTACTCGTATATTTTGATATTGACCGTGAGACCAAGAGTTAATCCAAGTGTCGTCCGTCTTCTGTCTATAATTAAACATTTAGCACCAGAATAATATGTAATGTGTGCACTAATTAGTCGGTCTAGAGGACACCTGACAACTGACACCTGACACCTGCACTCATTCGACCGATTGACACATTGACACACTTCATTTGACATCTAAAAACTTAACATCCAATTCGTACTAATTATG